TTTTTTTTTTTTTTTTTTTTTTCCTTTGGAAGAGTAACTGATAGCTTGGTGGAGCAAGGACTTAAGGTCTATTTCTATGACTCCCATGAGTGCTGTAAGCCAGTGGACTACTGGCTGTTGAAGGGAGCAAGAGGGATGTTGTTGGACATACTTTATCTTCTTTGTGGCTTCCCTGAAGCTGGGAGATGTTTCATGACAAAAGCTTCCTCAGAACTGCAGCATGATTACAAAAGGTTTCAGGTTTGAAATATCTGTCTTTTCCTGAGAGAGGGGATGTTGTCAGGAAAACATTCAGCAAACTCAGCTGCTGTTCACTGCTTGGCAATTCATATTGTTCTGAGTGTGTGTGTTTTAGGTCTGTTGTTTCTTTCTTAAATTATAAACAGGTCTTCTTTTAAATATGTAGTTATTACTGATTTTTTTTTATTTTTATTATTATGTTTTGACATATCCTAGTTTATAAGAAACACCTTTGTTCACTTCAGTCTGCTCTGTGGTAGTAACCTCTTTCCCTGTTCAATCCATTCTCTCTCCTCCTGAACTATTTTCCTACTAGAATTGGGCAAGCCATGACCTCTGATAGCTGATGTTACCTGTTAGCCTGAGAAACATGGTTGGTTTAGGGCCATAAGAATGTGATGTTTATCTGCTAACCTTGGAGAGCAGAACGTGACTTAAAGCCATGGCAGTTGATGTTGGGTTATGTGAAAAGCAGTCACGTTGTGGTGGTGGCAGGGAGTGCCCTGGCAGTCACTGTGACTCGGCAGCTTCCCCTCCCATTGGTCTGGAAATGAGTCAAGCTTGAGTTCATCATTCCAAGCCCAAATACTTCCTGATACTTGAGCCAGCTCTCGGTCAAGGTGATGGGGAATTTTTCTAGTGACTTACGTGCCAGTTTGAACATCTCTGCAATGCTTTATTTAAGGATCTCTCACTGTGGTTGTACTAAAATGCCACCAGTTCTTCCCTCACTGTCTCCAGTTCACTCAACCATTCATTGTGTCACAGCTTCTGCATCTTGCACTATTTTGCCTTCGCTTATTTCACCACACCTGCTTGCGGATTCAATTTTTCTTAAGATATGAGTGCATCCGGTGGAAACAAAGTTTGAGTACAGTGAATGTTGCAGTGTGTTGGCACCAGGTTGTTGTGGAGGTTGTGAAACCCAGCAAAAGGAAGGGTGCAACATGCAACATTTGCAATAATGTAAATATGCAGTAGATTGGTATCAGGAAATGTCATGATATTCCTAGAATTGTTCTTTAATTTAAATATGATTTGGATTTCTGTATTAAACAAAAACCCAGCTGTCTTAAGCAGAACAAAAAGATTAAAAAGTTATGCTTATGTCTTAAATTTGATTGTATGACTTGGATTAAACTGGGTGTCTTATGTGTATTGATGGTGCTCTTCTATGCACAGGTGTTCAATAGCAAGATCAACTCTTTTGAAATGTTGGTTTAATGAAATTAAATCACTGCTGAATGGATGATGCACAGGTGGTGACATAATCCTGAAGTCAGATAACTATGGTGGATCTAAACCTTTAAACTAATAACATATGCATGCTCTATCTACAATTGTTTTTCTTGGAAATAAGTTTAAAAATAATGTAATGTGGGAAGCCAGGTGTGTTCTGAAGCAGCCAATGGCAGAAAAACAACTGAAAGGGCCAGAACAATACAGTTGTTTCTAAAAAGCAGCTGTAAGGAAGAACTCAGTGATTGCTGTTGTCTAAACTGTTAATGAAGGAAAAATTGGCATTTTTGGAGCAGTAGCTATTTCTTCTGCCAAGTGTACTCAAGGATATATTAACCCATGAAGAAAAGATGTTTTTAAAATATTGAAAGATGACAAATAGTAAATATGGTAAATTTTGGCATAGAATTTGCTCCTCATTGATGACACGTCATATTTGTTCTGTTAATGTTTATGAGTAATTTACACACTTGATGTTAAATCTGGAAGTAAAGACAGGTTCTTAATCATGTTTGCTCATGGGTGGAATGACAGGAAGGTGATAAAATGCCCTTAATTTTATTGCTGGGACCCTTTCCTTGCTCAGGCTGTGGAGGAGGTTGTTCCTGTTGCAGGGACACAGTTGCTGGTTCTGCAGCCAGTGCTGGATGTCAGGCAGCCCAGGGCTGGCCTCACCCACACCCTGGCAGCACTGGCTGTGTCCAGCTCTGGGCAGAGCTGCTGGTTTTAGTGCAGTGGACACATGTGAGGCCCAGGACAGAGGGGGCAGGCCTGGCCACTCACTGTTGCCCACAGCTCTCATGGCTGATGGCACCTCCATAGTTGATGCTGCCTCAGGACAAGTTGCAGTAACATGTACCTTTAACCTCACTCATCTGTGCCTGATCCATTTATCATGAAGCAATTAAACCATACTTCGAAGAATAAGGAAAACTTAATTGTTTCCTTGCCCGTTGTTGAAGCCCTGACAGCAGCACATGTTTAATTCTGGAATATTTTTTGTTTGTAGGGGGAAGAGTAAAAACATGGAAACGGAGATGGTTTATTCTGACTGATAATTGCCTGTATTACTTTGAGTACACAACAGTGAGTATATATCTTCATGAATTGTCTTTGTAATCAAGATTTATAAGTAGCTGATAATGTGATATTTTCCTAATTTTTTAGGACAAAGAGCCCAGAGGAATTATTCCACTAGAAAATCTTAGCATAAGAGAAGTCGAAGACCCTAGAAAACCAGTAAGACAGTTTCATATTTATTTTTTAAATGAAGATGAGTAAGCCATATGGAACTTAATTGTACTGTTAAATGAACTTATTTGTCAGTTTTGTTCTGTTCTTTTAAATTTACTACTTCATTTCTACCCTCCAGAACTGCTTTGAGCTCTACAACCCCAGTCATAAAGGTCAAGTAATTAAAGCATGTAAAACTGAAGCTGATGGTAGAGTGGTGGAAGGCAACCATGTAGTGTACAGAATATCTGCTCCCACTCCAGAAGAAAAGGAAGAGTGGATTAAATCTATCAAGTGAGTTTCAAGTCTTAAATACCTTTCAGAAATGAAGTGTAAGCTCTTTCCAGAGTATGATACGAAGAGAATTTGTTTTAACTTGTTTGAAGAACTCTGTTGTGGCAATGTCCTTGAGGACTAACAATGAGCTCTGTGGGGTTGCTGGATCAAGATACAAATCTGTTTCTGTGTGGTCCTAAGGAAACAGTGCTGCTAACTCAAATGAGGAGAATATGCATTTATTGTTCTATGCAAGTGTAAAACCTTGTTGGAATCGTCTTTAAACCTAATTCTATTGGATTCTTAGTTCACCCAATAATTAACTTTAGTGCCATGTGTCTTAAGCGTGTTCACAAGCAGCTTTGAACTTCTGCAACTTGACTTTATGTTGGAAGGTTTCTAAGCAGACCCACACTTAAAGAAATAAATAATAGTCAAGGTGTGAAGGTGTGAATTCTGTTTAAATCACAGTAGAATAGCACCTAGTGCTGAAGCAATACCTGTGGTGCTTAGAAGTCAGCCATCCGTCTTAAGAGTGTGGAGTCATCCACAAGGAAGAGAGAACAAAAGTTTTAGTTTTCAAAACCAGGTATTTGTTAACCAAACCGATGATTCTTTTTTTCTCTTCCAGAGCAAGTATCAGCAGGGATCCCTTCTATGATATGCTGGCAACAAGGAAAAGAAGAATTGCAAATAAGAAATAGAACATGATCAGCAACTTGTAGACCTGCATCAACCTATAACTGAGCATACTGTGGAGTGATAAATTGGACAAACTAAATGAAGACAACTGTAAATTTTATATATATACATATATATATATATATATATATACATTTTACTATGGCATAAAAACTTGGCAAAACTTTTCAGGGTAAATAGTTACTGGTGTATCATTTGAAGTAAGCTTCAAATCCCAGAGAATGATTGATTGATTATATTGGAACTTAATTCAGCTGAACACATGGAAGCCTTGTTTTCATTTACATTAGTGACAACTCCAGTTTACTTGTGTTGGGAGGGAAGGAGCTCAGGGCTAACACTAAAATGTCCTCTACCTGTTACCTGAGCACATTTCCCATAAAAGGAGTGATTATAAGACTTTGAGTTCTCACTAAAGTGCAACACCAACAGTGGAGCACAGCATGGTCTGGCACTGCATTTTCTTGTAAGCAGAAACCTCACAATCCCAAAGTCACTTTTCAGTCATGTGTGTTTCCCAGCGACATCTGAGTGCAGCCTTCATTCAGGATTCCTCTCCTACCTTTATGGAAATAGCTTTTCTTCAGAAACACAGTGACTGGCAGCTCAAAGGTACCTCGTGGTGCAGGGGGTTTGTCAGTGTGCACTGAATTATGGGCAGGGCCCAGCAGCAGAGGTTTGAGACTGTGGCCATGACATGAAGTACCAGGTGTTGTCTGGTGTTTGCCAGTTGGCTAAAACTCATTCCTGTCTGTCATACACTCCCAACAAACACTAAGGTTTAATGACTGGTTGAATCTGCTTTTTATATAGCAATGTCCTTCTTATGTTTGAGATGCTGTAGTTTGATTAACACTAAGTTACTACTAAAGGAGAGAGATGACAGGGCTTGTGTGATTTTAGGCCTTGCATATGAAAACCCCCCAAATATTTTCACATGTATTGAATATTTTTAAAGGGAAAAGCCAAGGAGGTGAACTGTTTCTGTAAGATGCAGCCCTAGAGTTTTATCAAGCAAAGGAATCAATCCTGCTTGCGTAAAACTTTGGACATACGGAGTTTGTGCAAGTTCATACAAGTTCAGTGGTTTTATTGCATTCTTAAAGGCAGTTTTCAGATTTGTGCTGCAGCAGTTGAAATTGAAAAAATAGACCTTTTTTCTAAAAAAATAAAGTATCGATTACCTGGTGCAGCTAGACTTCCCCACAGGTATGTGTCTGTTTTTGAAACCTGTGAAGATCTTTCTGTGGTCCTACTGATGGGTCTTTCAGGAACACATCAGTGCTTTTCTGTTGATAGCACACATATTGTTCTTAAGGTAAAGCCCCTAATTCCATAGTGGGGGCAAAAAGTGGGAGGTTTTGACTCTACTGCTTCTGTTACTACTCAGTTTTTCCCAAACTTGTTGAACCTGAGCCCTGCCTACTGTGCCAGTGAATGTGTTGGAGACCCAAAATGTTAAAGCAGCTTTGCTTGTTGGTTATGGGAGCACCTCTGGGTCTGTTGTAGGGAGATGTGCTGCACTGGCAAACCCACATACTTACCAAGCTGATGTGTTTGAAATATCCTTTGAACTGTAAGGGAGAGTTTGTTTCACTGTTCTGTCTTACTGATTTGCCTTGTTTTGCATGGGGTGTCAGCCTTGTGAGTGTTTTGCTTTATTGCATGTTTGCAAAAGAGGCTGAGATGAAAAGAACAAAGTAAGCCTTCCTACGTTTTAGATTTTCCCCAGGGTGTGTGGAATTGCTTGGGTGAGTGTTTATATCTTAGTGCTTCCAAAGGAGTAAAACTCAGCCAGAGGAGGTAGAATCCTTGAATAAGTGTCAGTGTGGGGATATCTTTTCTTAATGGAACACATTTAAACTCTCTATAGAAATGAATTAAGTTGTGTGTCCTGTGTTTGCAAAGCAGCACAATGATGGAGCTGCACTTACTTTGAGTCTTCTGTTCTGCAGTGACATTTTGTTTTCAAGCACCTGCCTACGTCAGTCTTAGCTTTGGACAAGTAGATTTGTAATGCAAATAATGACAAGCCAAATCAGTGGTACTAGTGAGCATAAAGGTGAAAGGCAGCAAATACAGTATTTCTGGAGAAATGTGAGATTACAAAAGCATTAATAAGCCATGAAGCACTTTTGTATCAATTCTTATCTTCTGAAATACCACCTTTGAGGAAATCTATTTATTTTACCAGGTGAGGATGTCTGCCTATAGACATGAAGGAAAGGCCTTCACAGTTAATTTGCTGTATTTAGTTTAAAGTTCTTATATCCAGCAGAAATAATTATTTAGAGTAACATGTAACTGAGGATATTATAGCAGGAAATATATTATTTCTTAGCATTGAAATGCAACATCTTAAACAGCTACTTGTGGTGCTCAGTGTATCTATCTAATTTACCAAAGCTAATGGAATAGCATTTTTGTGTGTATTAATATTTGATTTCAAATGTTCTTTGTAACAGTATTAACAGGGAGTGAAACTGGCCCAAAATTTCCACTGGCCACGAGGCCAGTAAAACAAAGTGGCTTGTGAAAATTTTGGCCATATCAGGTACTATCCACGAGGGTGAAGAAAACTCTCTCAACCTTTCCCTTTTTTATTGGGCTTCAAGTCCAGGGGTGGCTACTGAAAGTGGCTGCTCTGTGGCCTAAAGCAGGATCTGTTACAGTTTGGCCATGCTGAGGAAGAGTCCTCTGGGGACAGCAGGTTCTCCCTTCCTGTGGCACTGAAACTGGAGTAATTCTTGAGCTCTTTGCTTTTGACCCTGCCCTCTACAACTGCAGGGGCAGTGAGAGCTGTGGTGCCAGTGCAGCTGGGAGGGAACTGTACAAAAAAACTTAAGCTCAGCTGGACTGACTTAAATTTTACAATATTCTGACAAAATAAGCTCTGCGTCACTTAGCATTTTGAACCATTTTAAACTGGTACAAAACTGAACCTTTATAAAGTGAGCAGCATTTATAATGCTTCATATATAAAAGAAAACCTGCATATTTTTAAGATTTATTACATATCTATGTAGATATGCTTGCTGGAAAAGCTAGGTCTGTTGTAGACCAGATACTACAAATTAAGACTTGTGGCTTACCAGTTTCATTTCTATATTTTCTTGGAAAATGTTTCTAGCTAGAGTTTAAATATAAAATGTAAATACTGTACAGGTATGTATTGATGAGAGTATTACTTGGTGTATACAAGTGATTTGCATGACAAATATTCTGTATCAATCATTGTTATAACGGTGATGTTCTTATGTAAAGCCACTGCAATATTAATGTTTTCATTTATCATTAAGACAATGTTGCTTAAATCTGTCAGTTTTCTCAAAAATAAAGTGTGAAACTCTACTGTCTCCTCCTTTACCAGGAATACATAGGAGGCAATTGCTGACTCTTAAGAGGTTAAGGTTTAATTTTACCACTGCTCTTCTAAGTAAAAGGCCTCTTTTCCCTACCCTTAGGCACAGTAATTTAAACTACCGGTTTAATTTTTCAGAGAAAAAAAAACCCTTCAGCTGCAAAATGTTTCAGTAAAGTGTGTTACCACGTGAGTGTGACTCCAGTAAAAGCTGGCTTCCCTTGAGAGCCACCCTAAATTGAGGGATTTTATCCATTCCCTGCCAGGAGTTTCAGTCAGATGGTGGTGGGGGAAGCGGATCTCTGCTCCTGGAGTATTAATTAGTTTCCTCAATTAGCAATTAGAAGCAGGTGCTGCTGCTCCACAGCTCTGGGGCAGTGGCACCGAGTGCCAGTTGTTGGCTGTGGGGCTCTGAAGGGAGGCACAGCAACAACACAAACTCCTTTCAGCCACTTGTGCTGGAGTTACTCATCAGACAAAGGACAAGACACCAAATCTTGAAGCCAGAGGACAAAAGAGGAAAAAAAAGGCAGATACAGGACAGGAGTGTTGGTTACTTTGCCATGTTACTTTATGTAACGTCACATAACTGTTGCCATAGGAACATTATGCAGGTACATTATGGTTTGGCTTAGTGCTGTTCTCCGTGTACCAAAATATGACTTTTTAATTATCTACTGAGACATTAACCTTGTTCTTTTTTTGCTTTTTTTTTTTTTTTTTTTTGTCACACACAACACCAAGCTCCCAGCTGGGTGCCTGCCTGTGGAAGCTGTAAGTTGAAAGGAGAAGCCTTCTGCATCCTTGTCTAGGCAGCTGCAGTCCCAGGTTACTGATCTTCTGTGGCTCACACCAGCAGCATCTTCTGCCCTGCACTGAGAGGAAGCTGTGACTTCTCGAGTGTCAAACATGCTCTGACAGCTGTCAGCTCCCATCTCACAGTGCACGTTAAATAACTCAAGTAAAACTCCAGTAAAAATCCATTTTAACTTTGCTGTATTTATATACTATATAAATTTTACATGCTATATATTTACAGTGGGGCAAGTGCTTTTTTATCTTTAAAAAAACAAAGATCAAACTTTAGACATCTCTGAACAACACAGCTTGTATAAACCAGACAGATTATTCAGATGAACTGTATTTAATACAGGTTCCCCACTCATCTCCTGATGCAGGACCAGTGAATAATAAGTGCATCACAGTTTGATAGCATTTAATAATAAAAATAAAAATCACAGTATGAATTTGTCTGTAACTAGACACTTTAGAGAGACAAAACAGACAACTGAGACTTAAGACAAATGACAGTATATTAAGAAAATGTAATAAAAACATATGGAACAATATACAAATATTCTTGAGAGATACATTCAGAACTGCATATTCGTTGTTTCACAATGTTGAAAACCAGAAGATTTTCTTCAGATCTTGAATATAACTCAAATGTGAAGTAAATTAGTTTCTAGTGTCAGACCACAGAAAAAAAAATGAAGCTCTTGCAAAACTCGTGAAGTTTTAAATAAGTCTTTAAATTAAATATACAGACTGTCAGTTGCAACTTTCATAATTCCTGGTCGCTCTTGCACCAGATGTCTTAACTTGGAGTAACATTACATGAATAACATAAAGTCAACCTGAGTCTGTAATTAAGCAGCATTTGAGATGGTCTATTCCAGGGCATTATCTCAGCTCAGTGAGATATTCATGTGGTAATTTACAATGTTCAGCAGTTGTAAAAAGTTTTCACCCTTTTGGATTAGAAGTATATTTTAAAAAAGAAAGTCTCAAGTTAAAAACTAAAAAAAAGTTCTTATATGGTAAAATTCTGTACAGAAATGTTAAGCACCACTTATGACTGGATTTTGTCTTGATGGTAATTGATAATAAATTTTAAGTTTTGATGGTCACTATCAGTAATGTCAGGTTTGAAGGTAAGAAGTCGTTGGTTTTGATGATGAGAAGTTGTTGGTTTTGAAGGTGAAGGGTTGTTGGGGTTGGTGGTCAGAAGTCCTTGGGGTTGGTGATGGGTTCAGTCTGAGTATTGAAGGCTTTCTTCAGTCAGCTCCACACCTGAAAGGCAAAAGGAAAACAAGGTCAGTCCTGCTGTGACATTAAACATTAAACTGTCTCTAAAAGACAAGCTCAGAGCTGCCCCAGCTCCATCTGCTCCCTCAGGACAGGATCCAACTCCCTGGCACAGCAGCTGCAGCCCAGTTCTGGGCTGAGGCTGCTGAAGTGGACAGAGCCTTAGGACAGAGCCACCTGCTTCAACAGCAAGGGTTGGACCTTGGCTGAATCAAATTTAATTGAAGTTTTGTCTGGAAAACATCCTTGTTTTAGTGGCAATATGAGGTCAGACTGACCAAACTGCTTCAAAGCTGCTTCCCCCCTCCTGTGTAAATTTTCCTTAAACCACAACTTATCAGTAGCTGTTTTCATCCTTATTAATTTATTCAAAATAACAGGAGTCAGATGAAAAGGCACAACCTCACAATTCCTTGCCTGTTCTCTAAAAACACGGCCAGAGTGGCCTCTTTTAAAAGCAGCTTCCATCTTTCAGAGAAACCTACTTGAGACCCATTTAAAAAAAAAAAAAAAAAAAAGACCTTCCAGAGGATGGAGCTAATTAACATCCATGGGCTTGAGGAAATACTAAAATTCTCAAGGTTTGACTGCTTTTGCCAGCCCTTGTCTCCCCCTCGTGTTGTTAATGTTCAGCAGTGAACAAACAGCTCCTTCTCCTTCCCCTGGGTGGCCCAGCACCCTCAGTGCCCTGCCCTGAGCAGGGCGATGCAGAACATTTAATTCCTCACTAAACTTGACTGGTTTGGAAAAACCCGCGTTTGCCATCTGCTGGCCAGGAAATCACTAAGGCCAAACCACTGTTGAGCACAAGCATTTTATTCTCTTTAGTTCCTGATTTGTCAGCTAGAACAGAGCTTTTTAGTGCAGTAAGGGTTATTTTGGTCCTTTTACAACATTAAGATTTGAAAGACCTCAATGCAGTTCTTAAATTTTTCACGTTAAAGAATAATGGGTGAACAATCAGCTTTCCCTCCACTCTGTATTTTTAGAATAGAACTTCTGGTTATCTCTGTCTTAAAATACCATCAGTTTTCCACAAATGCATTTCCCCTTTGCCTTGAGCAAACATTCCAGTGCAAGAATTCAGTGCACTGACTGTGGCAATTTGCCTAAGTGTGGAAACCCCATGAAAGAGATTTTCGTTTTCCAGAATTTCAAGATTAAACTTCTCCATTCCTTTGTTTTCTATGCTGTAATAATGACAGTTTCAACATGACTAGAAATGAACAGGACTGTCACTGACCATTAACCCAATTCTTAAATCGTTGGGAGGTATAAAATGTAGAAAATTTAACAATGAATCTGGCTTTTGGATAGTGAGCTGTCTTCTTCAGGGATTATTTCACTTATCTTTGAGTAAAATAGTTAGGGGATTGTTTTCGTTTTCTATTAAAATAGATGAGTAACTGGAACTGGTTTATGTCAGATAATAGGCATTGAATAAGGTTTTATTTCTATAATAAACACTGCTGTTGAGCAAAAATTTCATGGGAAATGTTGTCAAGTTTGATTTTAGATGTTGAATTTGTTGCAGTGTGCAATCATCTTCATTGCATAATTTTAGAGCTAATTAATTTAAACTAATTAATTTATCTACTGTGAGCCCAAGTTGCGATTATGACAAGCAACAGCTGAGAGCTCAGTGTAAATTTAGTCAGGCACACAAATTCATATTTGGGTTTTTTGTAAGAAGCACCAGACAGATTTTTTCAAATATTAAAAATCGGGAAAGAGCTGTTTCCTCAGCCCACTTCTAAGTATTGTTAAGCCTACACGAACAGAAAAACCCCACAACTGAATAAAACAATAGCAGGAATTTAACACTCTCCAGTGTTAAATTTTGAAGTGACCTCTGGAGGTTTAACAGCTGTGCTTAGGAGAAGGCAGAGCTACACCTGGACCAACAATATTTCAGTATTATCACCAACTCCTGTTATTCTGAGTGAGCCACAAGCAGTATTTCTATGCTATGAACAGCTGAATGGAGTATTTTATTTAAATTACAGAATGGTTTGGGTTTGGAAGGGATCTTAAAGATCATCTACTTCCAACCCCCTGCCATGATACCGTTTGGAAGCTGTGATAAAACCCAGGGATTTCATCACACAAGCATTTAAAGATGGTTATGAATAACCAGGAGTCCTGCCAACATCCCAGGGCCCCTTACCTCTGACATACTCGGTGGATGCCATGGAGCTGAATTTCTTGCTGTCACCTGCACCAGAAGGCTTCTCTTCCTTGTAAGGTTGTTTACTGCCCTGGTTTCTGTATTGCTCACATAAATGGTCATCTGGAGGACGGGATTCTTCCTTCTTCTCCCATGTTTTCTTCTGGAAACGAGGATCTAAATATTCCAATAAGTCCTTCAGTTTCCTTTCATGCTTCTTTTTCTTCTTTTTCTTATGTTTGCGATTGTCATTGTCAAAGTGGAGCACAGAGCAATCCAAATCATAAAGTCTGAAGGAAACATGCAAGTTAAAAATAGAAAAACAGATGTGGCACTTGATGTACACATGAAATGTTATTTATTTACCACAGGTGACGACTTGCAGAGTGTTTGCTACTTTGTGGTACTTTCTGCACATCTAACTTAATTTAGATGCAGCAACTTTAAGCCCTCAGAACGAAGGACAAGAGGTCCTGGTTTGTATACAAATCGTTAACAGGCATATGGGGAATTAAAAAAAAAAAAATTAAAATTGTAACCTAATCAAGAACGGTGTGCAGATGTTATTCTGACTACATTGTCCAGCTCTAGTGTTCTAACACAATTCAGCAACATCTTTCCTATCTTCTCTTGGCCAACCTAATAGCATGATCCCGTCACATTATGACAGATAAGTTACTTAAAAACAATGAAAAAAAGGCAGACATGAGAAATACCCGGAAAATAATTAGGAAAAAATTGCTGATTATGCTGGAATCCTTGCTTACTTGTAATCCTTCTCTCGATGTTTATCTTTGGACTTCTTTTTCTTCTTGACCTTCTTATACTTTTTGATTCTTTGGTCATCTGTCTTTCGGCATTTCTTTTCTATGTCACTTTCACTTTCTTCTTGGTGGGAGTATTTTCTTTTGCCATTTCTTAGTTTTTCGTTTTCCCGGGAAGAGTCCTCAAAATTTGAGTGAGCTGACACTGGTGGAAGTGCATGCCTTTCACGAGAGTATTTTTCTGAGTGCTGCTGAGGTACTGAACAGTGGTGGAAGTTTGCTCTGTGGCTGCTGAAGTGATGCACATCCTCCTCTCGGGAGAGTGTGCTGTGACCCCATCTGCTTTTGCAATGATAATCCTTGTGTGACCTGCTGTAAGCTTGGCTCAATTTGTCATAGTCTTTATCACAATGAGAGGACTTCCTCTCCCTACCATCCCTTGTTCCATGGGAGGAATAATAATCATTGTAGTATCTGCACTTTTCCCATCTCCGTGGTTCATCTTGATAGTATCTTTCTCTAATCCAAGGTCTGTCTCCTTTGGAATAATAATACCTGTTCCTGTCTGCATCTGTCCTTTCTCTGCTCCGGGATCTGTAACGAGAATATTTCCCTGAGCTCCTGCCATTACTGGGACTGTTTCTTTCGTTGTGGGAGGATCTGTACTTGCTCTCACTGCAATACTCCTGCTTATGACGGCTTTGCTTGTTTGTTTCCACGCTGTGAGAGCTCCTCCTCCTGTGGGAATGATCATCTGGTTTGTTTCTGGTTTGCCTCTCCTTCTCCTCAGTGTCCGAGTTTTCTCTCTTCCTTCGGTAGTGCTCTTTGTCAGTTCTTTTAGAGTCATGGATTCTTTTCTTATTTTTTTTCATATGTTTATCATCATCTTCACTTATTTTATTACTCAGTCCCTCATCTGCTCTAGAAAATTGACTTTCCAATACTTTATCCAGCTTTGTAATAGAAGAGTCATTAACGGGTGGTACCTCTACATAGTTATTAGAAATGTCCTTTGTATCTTGGCATTTATCTGTAATATCTAGAGATGCAAGTTTTTTAGAACTACATTCAATGTCAGGCTTTATAGAGGAAGTTTGCCCTAATTTCTCTTTGCTCTCAGGAGACCCTTTGATGTACAAAGGATTTTCTTTTGAAATGAGTTCAGGTTCTTTTGATCTTCTTAGTTTGTCTTTATCTCTGATGTCTTCAGACTCACACTGCCCATGGAATTCACCTTCAGTATCCAAAGATTTTTTCCTAACCTTGTGCTGACCATTGATATTGAGATGTGCATTATCAGCTTTTGTTATAATACTTTCAGCAACTTCTTCTTTGGTAAAAATGGTTTCAGAATCTGATTGAGTAAAAAGTTTCTCAACCTCACAGCTAAAGTTGGAAGGAACCTTCCTGCATTCTTCATAGGCAAACAGTGCTTCCATCACTACAGTTTCCATAACTCCATCATTGTCAGAAGATTTCTGAGGTCCAGAGACACTGCACAAAAATAAAAACATCTTTTTAGCTTGTAAAAGTCCATCTAAAATTCTAAAAGACATTGTCTTTAGAAAACCATTCTTACACCTCCCTCGGTTCCCATGGAAAGCTTTTCTTCTTTCAATTCTGCAGGTCTTGCCTTAAAAAACCCATTCCCAACACATCCAGCTCCTTCCATTTGCAGCTCTGAATATCATCAATAGGCAGAACAACTACATTTGCTCTTCCCCCAGTTAGAAAAAAGGTAAACACAGAGATTTCCCACCCTCCCAAGTGGGAGAGGAGATTGTGGGAATTTACATTCATTCATCCTAGGATGCAAAAAAACGAAAGAGGATTAGAAAAAGTATTCCAGACAATGGAAGCTTCCTGTGAAACTTTTACAGGAGGCATCTGCCTGTATTTAGTATCAGAATAATGTGTGCCCAAAGCTGATGTCTGCAATGCCAGGTGTACAGTGTGGAATTCTCTGTACTGATGTAAATCTCTTAAGCAGTATTAGTACATGAGTAAAATAGTAATAAACTTGTATGAAATCTTGTTTTAATCAGAGTACAGTCATTTTACCTTTTTTCCTCTGATAAGCTGTTCAACTGGCCATATGTAAGAGAATCTAAGATACCTTGAGGATCTGGTGACAAAGCTTTAGGCATCTGCAATTAAAACACAGAAGTTAACAAAAAGAAAGAAAAAGCTATTTTTAGTAGAAAACTACTGCTGACAGACTTCCAACATTAGATGTTAAACAAGATCACACTGAGTTACCTGCACTATTCCCACTTTATACATCATCCCCCTCTTCCCAAAAATGTATTTTATGAAATTTACGAACTATTATCTCCCTGAACTTCTCTTATGTTGACATATGTCATATGTCAGCTCAGGTCTGCAAATTCAGTGGGATAATAGCACAAAGGGTTAGAATGAAATCTGTGCTGTTTTCTTGGTATTCCACATTGTAGTGCTCATGAATATTGAATATATCATAGATGAGAAAGTCCAGATGAACAAATGTAACTCACCGTTTCAAGCACTCCATTTGCTTTAGAGAAGAAAATCTCAGAAGGTTTAATGGGTTGGACTTGGCAAGTGGAATCATCAAGTTTCAGTCCATTTTCTTTATATTCATTATCTAAACTAATAGCACCATTTAGGGAATCAAGTTTTGGCAGCTCATGCTGGGATCTTTCTTCAGCATTCTGACAGGATGAATGGGAATTATGCAATGTACGGACCACCTTCCCAATCAGAATTCCATTGGAAGATATGACGTTGCAATTCCTTTTGAACAAGCCCTTGGACTCCTCGCATTTTCCTGAAGGTTCTGCCCCGTAAGGGACCATGCTATCAGAACAGAGCTTAGGGTTTCCATTCACTGCTGGCTCAACAAAGATTTCATCAGGAACCTCCTGCTTGGAGACATTAGTAGCAACTGACACTGTGGAGAGGTTTGAGGTAGGCTCTGCTGTGGAAGAGTTTGTAACTGTGGCTGAAGGAAGGGGCTTCAGCTCCTCCTCCTCCACAGCGCTGCTCGGACACTCCTGCGGCAGCGCCTGCCGTGCGGGCAGCTTGTTGTGAATACTGATGGTGATCTTCTGGGGCTTGGAAGGGTCTGCCATGGAAGGCCTGGAAATTGCCCAGTTTTGAACACAAGCTGTTGGTGGAGCTGAAGATGGCCTTTTTACAGCAACACCAACACTACCGGGATCCTCTTTTAAGGGTCCATTTCCATTTAAACGACTTGAGCTCTGGATTTGAAGAGATTGTAAGATGGACATGTTCAAACACACAGCACTGGAAGTCACACAACATTAAATTCTCATACTAAATAGTTCTACAGATTGCCACAACACCTAAGAAGAAACCTCACCTCCGTTCCAATTAAATGCATGTCCAACAAGCGTGTGCAAATCCTGCCTTTGGTATCAAATCAGCATCAGTTTGACACCCACCCAAGCAACTTAGCATTGACTAAAACTATTCAAAAAAATATTTATTTTCCTTTTTAAACACTCCCTGACAACACTGGAATAGTTCTGCTAGTACTCAGGAACAAGACAATTTGTATTCTATCACTGTCTCAACTAAAGTGACACTGATAGGGACAGGGCAGATATTTACTTTTTAAATTTAAATTACTTAGGCATTAATAGACTACTTTTAAAATTTAAATTGTTTAGGCATTAACAGACTACTTAAATTGTCTCAAGAGCACATATCTCAGCCTTTAGAAAGCTGAGCTGGAAGGCTAAAGTAACAAAGTGGCATGGCTGCACAATGAAGGATTAGCCACTGTTTGAACAACTCTGGCTCTAGCACGAGGACTGTGAAGAAACCTGCAGTGTGGAAGGGAAAATAAAACCCATAAAACCCCGCCCCACATCAAAACCCACAATAATTTAGTGCTGTTATCTGCCCCCCTCCAATTACCTTCATCATGTGAGGAGGAAGGCGTGGTCCCATGAACGCAGCCTGCTTGCTGTTGGCCCCGCGCTGGCCCAGGAAGGAGCGGGGGTAGGAGGGCGCGGGCAGGTAAAAGGCTCGCTCCCCCAGCGTCAGATCGTAGCGCCTGCAGAGACACGAGGGAGGGCAGCTCAGCTCAGAGCTCTTCTTACAGCTATTCCTGGATTAAACCCCAGCACCTCAGAGACTACAAACTCAAGATTAGATAATGGTCTTCCTACAATGACTGTCCTTTCCAGAGCAATGATTCAGCCTCACACCATCTATGGCCATGATTTCTCCTCTTTTCTAAACTGTCCAGCTACAGAGAGCAGACAGAAAGCAGCATACCCAAGCACAGAAGTTTAAGGTCAAGCAATGAAAGGTAATAAATGACACGGGGAATTTCCACTTAGAAATATACAAATAGTAATATTTTCCTAGGGTGAAAAGAAAAAGACTTGAAAACAAGAAAAGTATCAGCAACTTGATATCAAAAATGTTCTGAGTACATGTGGTGTTATTACCTGATATAAAAAAGTACGTAAGCTTGCTGATTGAGAACTGTTTTGATATCAGAAAGTTCTACTGAGGCATCATTCATCCGGTACCAAAGTCCATTACCAGCCTGCAAACAAAGAATATCTTCAGATGAATTGCATGTGTTCCAAAGGACATCACAGATAGAGCACTGCAGAACAAAGCATACTAAAACAGAGCAAACAAAGCACATGATGCAATGTTTTCCCCTAAAACCAATGGTTACCAGTAACATTTTAATTTCTTTGCCAGCACAGATTTTTATCCTGGTAGAAGTTGAGTTGATCCCTACCTTAATGAAGCAGAGATAGTGTCCAGCATTACAGTTGAAGCCACTATGTACAAGAACTGCATATAAAGCATAGATGAGAGGTTCTCCAATAGATTGGGACATATATGCTCGAAGATCCAAATATTCAGGGTATTTTACATCCTAAACAAAGACAAAGAAGATTCAAAAGTTATCCTGAAATACTTCATGGAACAGCCTGAAAAAGACACAGACTAGGACTACATAAATATATTTTCCAATTCACTTGAAAATGCCTATTCTCAGAAACAACGTTTAACTGCTTAAGCTGCAGAGAGCTATTTTCTAAAGAAATAGCTCTCTAAGGGCAAGGTATGTTCTTATGGTCACACAGGAATTCTATCAATATTAAAAAAGAAAGTAACAGCCACAGCAGCTCAGTTGTTATATCAACTTCTCTTACACTGTAGTTACTGCCTGAAATGTGAACAACATTAAAATTAATATTCCTCTTTGGGAAATGTCCATTCTGAGAAGATAAAGCAGCATTCCAGCTGCAAACATACCTTGTTGATCTTTCCACCTGTAAAATTTGCAAATCTTTTCAGTGATATTGTGAGAACATTGGAAGAGCGATGTATCGTGTATCTCTTTGATGCTGGAACCATCTTTTTACACCTTAAAAGCAAGCACAGACATATTTTTAACGGTATATTCTTTTCTCACCCAGAAGTCAAACAAGTTTTCATCTCTCACACATGCTTATGTTATTTGAATGATATTTTGCTTGTATAATATGCTAAATCTTTTCTTAAATCCATAAAGTGCATTTCAGCTTTGTTAACAGAGAGAACATAGCAGCTATTAGAGACAGCTCTACAGAACAAAGAATAAAGGATTTAGGACATTATCCCTTGATAGTCAAACAACTGCCTGAACATGTATCTTTCTCATGTCAAAAAGGTAAGGCAGTAAAAAACGTAAAAAAATCACTGGAAGGAAACAGCCATTCTGCAAGAGGCAGACATGGGACAATATTGAGTTTTCTTGTACTGAGGTTTCCTGGAAAGACTGAAACCCTTCAAAACAAGATCGTTAATTTTGTTTGTTTCACTGCACACTCAGAGGAGGTACAGATTAAGTCCTGAAATGCAACCATCAGCACAAAGACTGAAACGTGTCACTTTACATTGTCAAGAAAATACTGCTGAGAGCTAACAAACAGAAAGAATTTAATAGCCTCTTTTCAAACTGATGTTAAACTACAAGGCACATAATTCCAAACTGATGGAGAAAGCCAACAAACAAAATAAGAAAAGAATAAGGAAAAAAAAA